GTGAATCAGAGAGCCAAGATGGAGTTACTGGTGGGGGGGGGTACAACTCGGGAAGTTTAAAAAGTCATGGCATCTGTTGAGACTAAATATGGTTATAGGTCTGGAGTGGGCTTGGGAAACAGAAGTCACATTGGAACTCAAGGGTGGAATGGGGGGCTTGGGAAGCAGGAAGTTACATTTTACAGCAGCTGACATGGTTCACTAAGATGGCGCATACAGAACAGGATGGTGGCGCTTTGGTCAAGTTATAACAAGGAGGACAAAGGGATTGCAAATGGTCAAAACATGTTATGTGCATGTGCCAGTGTCCTCAACAAAACACTATTCTATATCACAAATATGAACTAAAAAGAAAGAAAAAAGAGTTCAACAACAACAAGAATTTTCTATTAAATGAGTACTGTTACAACTTATGTAACCGTCTCCATTTTTGTAACTAGAACAGCTATTTTGTTATACAATTCTGTATGTTTCTGTTATAACCTATGTGATTAACTCCATTTTGTAACCAGAATAGCCATTATATTATACACCTCTATACATTTCCACTGTAACTTTATTAATGAGGATTGTTTGGTATAAGCTGACAACTTAAACTCCATCTTGGTGGCTCAAGCCATCCACCAGACCTCTGAACACAGTTTGTTAATGTTCAAACTATTCCTTTGTTCTAAATCACAGTGTGTTAAAGGTTAAGATCTGAACTATTCCTTACCCCAGAGCACTCCACACAATATGTCCTGTGATCAACACTGAACCATAAATTGTAATTATTTGTTCCTGAAAATTGTAACCGCATGTTAAAAAAATGTAACTTGTTTTCCCGAAAGTGGACACTGACCCCTGTGCTGCATTCCCTTGCTCTCAAGTCACAAGACCACCCCTTTGCAGTTTTCAGCCTTAAAAACCCTTGTCTCTGGCAATCACAAGTGTCTGAGTTCAATCCCCGGTTCCGCCAAAAAAAAAAAAAAAAAATTAAAAAAACAAAACAAAACAAAACAAAACAAAAAAACCTTGTCTCTCCTCTCCTGGGCGAGCACTTAGGCACTTTGTGCCGGGTATTGCCGCTGGGTATCAGCTAAAATAAAGCGCTCTTTTCTTTTTGGACTTGTCTCCCAGTTGTCTCATTTTTGGATTACAACAAGTACAGCAAGAGCATTATCAAAGGTCAGAGGTGTAGAAATATAGATTTGAGACAAAAGCCTGATGTCCCAAGAGGGCAGGAAAATAATAGATAGATCCCAAGGAGAGTTGCTGTCTGTTTGCAAATTCCGGAAAAGCTGGGATTCAAAGCTGCAGATAACAGCTTCTCCTGCAGGCGCTCTGTCCTTTGATCCCTTGCTTGGGATGTTATCGGCTAGCATTTGTGTGAACCTAGTGTTAGGCAAATGGTGGAAGTTAATAAAGAGAGTAGTTTGTATTCACTTAGGTAATTATGCACATACCTTAGGCTGCCTTTACCCCTCAATAAAAGTGAGATGCTTCTGAGGCTCTGGGCTCCCTTGGAGAGAGACTAATCTCAGTGAGACCTCTGAAGCTACATTCATCAGGTCTTCTTGTCGTTTCTTTCGGCACCGACCTGTAACATACAACACAGAGGGAAAAAAATAAATACAGAATTTAGAATTATTCTGTATATGGCTTTGAAAATATTTTGGGGCTGGTAAGATGGCTCAGTGGTCTAAAGCACCTACTTAGAGCAAGCTTAGCAAAGCACAGGGAGCGCGGTTCAATCCCCCAGCACCACATGCCAGCCAGCCCCGCCCCCTGGTGGGCTGAGCTGGCCACACACACAAAATAAATAAATAAATAAATAAATAAATAAATAAATGTTTAAAAAGAAAAGAAAATATTTTGAAGTTCTCACTTTATGTTAAAAAAACTAAAAATTAAAAGGATGAATTAAGGGCCTGGGAGATGGCTCAGTACAATAAGTGCTTGCCTGACAAGTGCAAGGGCCTGAATTCAATACCCATCCTCCAAAAAGATAATTAAAAAAAAAAATAAATAAAGTGCATTAAATGCAGAATTTAAGTGTGCTGTGCAGGCCCCACCCTCAGGGGAGTGCTGAGAGGGCAATTGAGAATGGGCGTGGCGGCACACCCTGTAATCCCTGTGCTTGAGAGGCTGAAAACAGGAGGATCACTACGAATCTGATTTGTGTAGGGAGACCCTGTAGACCCTGTCCTTAATACATTTTTAAAAATGCAGAATTTATTTAATGACTTTTTTCAATAATTGTTTAATTTTTATTAATTAAATTCATTTATTTATTGTGGTACAGGGGATGGAAACCAGGGCTTGCACTGAAATATATATTCAGTTTTCTCTCTCTCTCTCTCTCTCTCTTTTTCTCTTTCATCTTTTTGAGACAGGGTCTTGCTATGCAGTTCAGGCTGGCCAAGAGCTCACTTTGTAGCCCAGGCAAACTGGCAGCAATCCTCCTTCCTCAGCCTTCTGAGTGCTGGGATATCAGGCATGTGCCACCAAGAATGGTCTCCCTTTTTGAGACAAGGTCTTGCTAAATTGCAAGAATAAGCTGGAATATAAAAACATGTATTAATAGGGCAACATGATCTATCAATATATGTATACATTTTGTAGTGTTTAAATCAGGGTAAAGATACCCATCTTGGGGCTGAGGAGATGGCTCAGTGGAACAAGCGCTTCCCTGGCAAGTGGAAGGGCCTGAGTTCAATACCTGGTTCCGCCCCACCCCCCTCAAAAAAAGATACCCATCTTATCAACAATGTCATTTTTATGGTGAAAACATTCAAAAATTATTTCTTCAGGCTTTTTAAAATAACTATATAGGGGCTGGTGAGATGGCTCAGTGGTCTAAATCACCTACTTAGAACAAGCTTAGGAAAGCACAGGGACCGCGGTTCAATCCCCCAGCACCACATGCCAGCCAGCCCCGCCCCC